AAAGATTTGTTCAATTAATTTGGTCATTTAAACACAATAATTAGGTTTTAAATTTGATTCATGATAAATATTCTCAATGACAGCTTTCAAATTTGGTGATTCATCCTCACATCAATAGTATATTCTTAAAGCCAACTCTGAATAATTCCATAATCCAAACCGTAAAATGTTTATGAAAGTTGACGATGGTCATGCTTTGTGCAGGTATAGAGACATCTGTGTGTGACAGAGCATTTCTAGCTGCAGTGACTATGTGTACCCTGATCTTTCTCTCGATACACAATGTGGTGGCAATCCTGACTTGTCTTCATTAGACTTAACCATCATCTTCCAGGACAAAAGATAGAATTTTAGAAGCTTGGATTTGGAACAAGAAACTGAAGAGGAAATAGAAAACCCAGGTAACATATTTGCAAACACTCTTCATTGCTATGAGAATGGGGCAAAACAGACTTAGCTGGAATGAACTATGTGTCTTTCTTAAGAAGTAAGTTTTGTCATTTTATCACAAGTGTTTTATGCCAGAAGCTCCTGGAATAAGATAGCACATGTATTTTCTCCATTTGATACAATATTATTGGAATAAGCACAATGGAAATAATTTTCTCCAATATTTTATATTACAGTTGTTTAAATGCATACTGAAATACAGAAAATGTAGAGTGGAACATAACATATAACAAAACATACAATATAACATGGCATATATATGGTCTTAACAATAACTTTTTTAGATTGATATATATAATTTAGAGAATCCAACAAATATTTATTTTGAATCTTAATATGTTGAAGATTATAGTAAGAATTACCATAGCTTTTTATAAATTGTTACCTTGTGTATGGTATCTTTAAATGTTCTGGTTCTATGTAGATGTATTTCTGTTGGTAATTTTTTTATTGTGGTAAAGTATGCGTAACACATTATTGTGTATCCACCATCACTATCCATCTCCAGGACTTTTTCATTGCCCCAAACTGAAACTGCACCCATTAAACAATAACTCCCCATTTCCTACTCCTCCTAACCCCTGGTAACCACTGTTGTACTTTCTGTGAACATGACTATTCTAGTTACCTCATAAAAGGAATCACAAAATATTTCCCTTTTGTGTCTGGCTTATTGCCCTTGAAACAATGTCTTCAAGGTTCATCTGTGTTGTAGCATGTATCAGAATATATTTCCTTTTGAAGGCTGAATAATTTATTTTACTGTATGTATATACCACAATTTGTTGACACATTCATCAATTGGTGGACACTTGGGTTTTTACCCCCTTTGGCTTTTGTGAATAATGCTGCTATGAATGTTGGTGTGCAAATATCTGTTAGAGTTTCTGCTTTCTTTTTTTTTATATAGACTAAAACTGATATTTAGATATGTAAATTAAAAGCCCCTTGTATATTACAGAGGGAAACTCAAAATCTACCATGTGGAAACCTGAGTTCAGAGAAGTTTTGTTACTTGTTAGACTCATTGAACTGTACTTATACCTTATTAGAAAGTGAATTTTGGTGTCTGTGGAAATAGAATTCATAAATTTTGTTAGAGACAAGGTCTACAGAATCTCTTATTTCTGAGGAAGATTGGCCCTGAGCTAACATGTGTTGCCACTCTTCCTCTTTTTTCTTCTTTTTCTCCTCAAAGCCCCCAGAGCATAGTTGTATATCCTAGTTGTAGGCCCTTCTAGCTCTTCTTTGTGGGGCGCTGCTTCAGCACGGCTTGACGAGTGGTGAGTAGGTCTGCACCCAGGATCCAGACCGGCAAACTCCAGGCCACCGAAGCAGAACATGCCAACTCAACTGCTACTCCACCCGGCTGGCCCCAATCTACAGAATCTTAAAGAAATTGCCAACATCTGTTTCTGCCTGTGGGTTAATGGCATAGAATTTTCTCACATTTTAGCAACTTAAAAATATTGTGAAAGAAACTGGACACATTGCGTTATGCAACCCAGTTCACCTCTCAATTTATAAAAAGGAGATCCCTTAGATTAATTTTAGCTTTAATGATGCATTTCAAAGACGAGAATGAGATATGGAGAAAGACAGACAAGGGAAATTCCACACAGTAATGTGAAGGGTAAAGAAGGGACAGCTTCCATAACGGTATGCAATAATGACCCAGTCACTCCATCCATCCCACAGGGAATGCTCCTTTGGATAATTAGGGAAGAGAGTGGACTTTGGGGAAATTCATGTACAACTGATTCTAGAGGTTTGACATTAAAGTAACATGGGGAGACAAATAATATCTTGAATTTATTTAGTGCTTATTATTTGTCAGACAATATTCAGAGAGCTTTATTTGTATTATTGTATTTAATCTTTAAAACCATCCTATGTGTCAGATGCTATCATAAGTCTCATTATACAGATGATGTTGAGTAGAATACCGAAGGTCACCCAGTTGGTAATTATAGATTCTGAAGCTCAAATTCCGAAGCAGAATTTAGACTTTGGATTCTCAAAAAGTATACTATGCAGGCATCCGGTCCCACTTGTGCAAAATTACAAAACAAAACTGACAAAGACTATATATGAGATGGGCAATCCACTCTCTCTGATTATTGTTTTTTTGTGTTTGTCCCTAAAGTCTGTTCAACCACATTCAGGTTTTAGAGGTAGCATTTTTCCATTACCGTGAAGAAATGGACTTGAAAAATATGATATTTCTTTAAAATTAATCTTTTTAAGAAAATTTGATGGCGTTTATTAGGACCTCAAAATTTTTGCTACATCATTTTTATGATCACTGCTCAATCATCTAAAAAAGGCTATTGCTTATATGGGAAACAGGTTTTACTATACAGATAATTAAATAGAAACACCATTAGGCTTGGATTGTGATCATACGTTTCAAAAGGATCTGGACTAAAACTCAAAATTTCAGTCTATAATTTCTAATATCTTATTGATTGAAAATGTTTCCAAGTATTTTGCACCTTGCATACCATGTAAATGGTTTGTTTCTCTGCCCTATGCTGTTTAATTTGCCATTAATCTACTTAATTTATCTTATTTTAATTGTCATCGTGGGATACTTCACATTATCATGGATTTATGTTGTTTAAGCATTCGTTTATGATTTATTTATTCTCATTGAATGTGTGAAGAAATTTGAAGACTCTCACAAATATTTGAATCAGATATGTCTATTTTTAATAAGATACAATATTGATAAAGTATAGAATTTTGTACCATTCTGAGTCAAATTAATAGTTTTCAATAGTTTAGAGTAATAATTATGTTCATAAGAACATTTTCAATAGTCAAATATTTATTAATCACTAAAATGTATAACACACATTCGTAGCTTCTGGAGATACAATTATTAATAAGATATTTTTACTATCCTGACAGACCCACCAGATGATAGGTGAAAACACACTATCAAGAAGTAAGTGTTGTGAATACTCAACAGGTAAGTCAAGGGGTTAGATCCTCCTACTGGAAGGTATCTCTTGAATGCTCAGACTACTACTATAAATTGTGACTATTTTCCATTGTAAATGCAGATATAGATTCATAACTGTAAATGAAGCTATTTAATTCTGTATATATGCAGTGAACTGCCAGAAGTCCTGAAAGTGCAACTCCTTCTTTAGGCAGCTGGTCTCATCTACTGATTCACATTTGATTTTCTCATTTTCATGCTTTCTTGAAGTATAAGATTCTGAAAGGCAAGTCCTAATACAGATGTGGAGTTATCCTTCAGGCCACCTCATGATGGACAGCTCGGGAAATCTGAAATTTCCTCTACTCCTAACTCATTCAAACCCCCCAAAGCAAACAGTTTACCAATTTCAAAGCATGTTTCATTCAGCTTATTGCTTTTGCTGGTTTCTGCCTTTTCTCTGTTATCTCTTATTTTGGTGTCATCTACACTTATATTCTCTCTCTGATGTTTGAGTACAAATTTGCCTAAAAGCACAAAGGATAGAATAGTCTCTTGCTCTTCACAAATGATCATTTACAAATGTGGACACTGAAATAGAGCATATTTAATATAATTCTGCCAATATCAAGTTGCACACCTTACATGTAAAATTGGCTGGATCATTCCCAAAAGGCCTGACAAGTGATTTATTTTCCTCAAGTGAAAATGAATATCTTGTATTCAACACAGACTCAGATAACTAGAACTAATAATATAAACAAGATAACTAGTCTCGTATATTGATTATTAATAATCCGTCTTCAACACATTGTAATTCACCCTGATTAACATACCAGCAAAAGTGTTATCGTGTCACTTAGGATAAAAGTTTCAATGACAAGAATTCAGAAACACACATCTGGAAAGATCATAGCATTTCAGATAAGAATATAAGTTGGGATGTGATTTTTCCCAAGATGACTGAGAAAAACCAAGTAATACTTCTGGATTTTTAGTATAGAATTCTTTCTACTGCACCATGATTCTGCCTAAAATCTTTATTTTGGCATTCCAAATTGAGCTAAGGATAGCAATAATTAATTCCAAGCAATTTTGAAAAGTAGGAGAAATGTCTATGTAGCACCCAAACCATTCATTTTGATTTGTATTATCCATTTTTTCCTCCAATAACCTAGGTTGTAATGAATGTAAATTTAGTTTGTGTGTGTGTGTGTTTGTATCTTCAAACAAGACATTGCTTTCATTGGACTTTCTTGGCTGGGGAGAAATTAATACATTTATCTCTGCTCAGTTGCTTTCTCATGAGTTGATATTCAGTTTAATGAAATAAAATTCAATGAGCATACAACGAGCACTCACAATGTGACTGTTTTTTTTTTTTATTGTGTGGGTGACTTATTCTTCAAGTCTTGGTGCTCATAGTAAAGCAACTCAGAAAGGCAGTTATTTAAACATCGGCCTATAATTGCATGTTCCATGCAGTAGTTATTACTTTATATAAATATATAAATAAAGTTATAAGAGATGAGGTTGTTTTCATGGAGGATCTCTGAAGTCCAAAAAACATTCAAGAATAAAAGAAATCATATATAATGTCAAAAATGCCATCTTTACGAGAGATATTCTGGACAAAGTAGCTTTCTTGTTGTTCGGTAGATCATCTCACAGACATGCCCACTCACGTATACCTTCCAGTTAGAGTACTGAAGTCTAATCATTGTAGTTGAAGCATGAAATTTGTGAAAAGGAATGGAGTAATTGTGGGAGGAGATTTCAAACTCTTATTTTCTAAAGAGTTACTCTGTGTGAGGCCCTGTGGAGCAAACATTGTTGAGTAAAGCGTCACATTTTTTATATAAAGCTTGCGATCCCCTCAAATTCATTATCGCCCCTTTTGTTTGCAGCCTCTGACACCTGAGTTCAACACTTTCAGAAGATCACATGGAAAATAGGAACAATGTGACTGAGTTTGTCCTCCTGGGGCTCACACAGAGCCCTGAGGGGCAAAAAGTTCTATTTGTCACATTCTTACTCATCTACATTGTGACGATAATGGGCAATCTGCTCATCATGGTGACCATCTTGGCCAGCCGGTCACTGGGTGCCCCAATGTACTTTTTTCTGGCTTACTTATCATTTATTGATACTGTTTATTCTACTGCCATTGCTCCCAAAATGATTGTAGACTTGCTTTATAAGAAAAAGACCATTTCCTTCCAGGCTTGCATGACTCAAGTCTTCGTAGATCATTTATTTGCTGGTGCTGAAGTCCTTCTTCTGGTGGTGATGGCCTATGACCGATATGTAGCCATCTGTAAACCTCTTCATTATTTGATCATCATGAATAGGCGGGTATGTGTTGTCATGCTGCTGGTGACCTGGACTGGAGGCCTTCTGCACTCATTGGTTCAATATCTCTTTATTTATCAGCTCCCTTTCTGTGGCCCCAATGTCATTGACAATTTCGTGTGTGATATGTACCCCTTATTGAAGCTTGCTTGCACCAATACCTACCTCATTGGGCTTTCTATGATAGCTAATGGAGGGGCAATTTGCACTGTCATCTTCTTCATTCTCCTAGTTTCCTATGGGGTCATATTATACTCCCTTAAGAGTCATGGTTTGGAAGGGAAACGCAAAGCTTTCTACACCTGTGCATCCCATATGACTGTGGTCATTTTATTCTTTGTTCCCTGTATCTTCCTGTATGCAAGGCCCAATTCTACTTTTCCCATTGATAAATCCATGACTGTGGTTTTAACTTTCATAACTCCCATGTTGAACCCCTTAATCTACACTCTGAGAAATGCAGAAATGAAAAATGCCATGAGAAAACTGTGGACCAAAAATGTGACTTTAGTTGGAGGAGGGCTGTATCCCTCATGCAGAACATAATATTCATTCTTTCACAGAAGCATGGACTATTTTCACTATCAGCGATTATATTTAAAATCATTTCCTTTAGGCTGTTTTGTTTATTTATTCTGAAACAGGCATATAAATTAATCTTATCTAAGTGGAATATGTTATAGACCTTAAATGGCAAGAAATAGTATAGGTTTAATCTCTTATATAGGTAACCATATTATGTTAAGAATCTTTAGTGGGCAGCAAGTTTTTGGTTTTATTTCAGGTTCTTGTTTGTGGGGTATGCTACCTCCCTGGTACATAAAAAATGTGACCTAATGGAACTTGTTCCCTTTTCTTCAAAGAGAGTAAAATTTTAAAATTAAAAATTCAGGTGCTAAAAAATGTTAACTAGCTGTAATAGCAAATGTCTTAGTCAAATTCATTAATTTAAAATTTCACAGCACATCTTCATAGCTGAGGACAAATCCATGAGAAATGAACTTGGTTAATTTTATACTGTGATGGTAGCATGTAGTTGATTTTGTATATTCTGATCCAGTTTTGGACAGAAAAATTAAATTGTTCAACCTCATTTTGTACATCTGGATCAATAGTCCTCCTCTAATAGTTGAAATACATATTTAAGTCATTCATATCACAGTAGAGCCCCGGAGTCTGCCTACATTCAATTAACTCTCTGGGTATGCTTTTTTTTTTTTAAAGATTTTATTTATTTATTTTTTCCCCCCAAAGCCCCAGTAGATAGTCGTATGTCATAGCTGCATATCCTTCTAGTTGCTGCATGTGGGACGCAGCCTCAGCATGGCCAGAGAAGCAGTGCCTTGGTGAGCGCCCGGGATCCGAACCCGGGCTGCCAGCAGCGGAGCGCGCACTTAACCACTAAGCCACGGGGCCGGCCCTGGGTATGCTTTTTTTAATGAAATGGATGTTTAACATTTTGGAACAGATTATTTTGTTTGACGTAATGAATGCCTTTCTGATTTTCTGTAAACTACATGTTGTTGACCTTAGTGATAAATAAAAGGTGTCTTCTCTCTGTATAATTGCTCTATAGCAGTTTTGGGGATCAAATACCGTTTTAGAAACATCATATTTTTAAGGCTCTGGCATTACATGTTCTTTGTGAGACTTCAACTCTCGACATAGACACTAAGGCAGGAAATAGGCCTTCATCCTTTCTCAATTTGTAATTGCATGTATTTAGTATATGGCAATGTTAATGCCTCCACTTATTTGATACATACGGAATAGATGCCAGCCATTAAGTTTCACTTATTTTTCAGTGAAGGAGATAAAAAGTGCTCCAGATGTTTTAATCAGGAAGAAATCCAGTACAGTGAATTAAGTACTTCATAGTGCTCGGGACTGGAGGAGCTGACGTCTGGAAGCTGGAGTGAACACGGTTGGGATCAAGGATTCACACCTGAGCTGTGATGCAGCAATGAGGAGGCTGGCCTCAGAGTGAAAGATCGCTGCACGCACTTCTCAAAGTCTTCACGCCCTGAGTTTGCAAAGATAATGTCCCTTAAGCGTTTTAGTTTTTCTTTTCACATTTACATCTTTAACTCACATAGGATATAAATTTTCAGGTATGGTCTGAGGTAGAAATACATTTTCCTTTCCTATTATAAAGATAGATCATTTTTCCCAGCACATTTATAGAATAACCATTCTGTTTCCCAGTACCCTGTAATCCCACTGCTTTCATATATAAAATCTGTATTTCTATGATTCTATTTCTTAGCTTTCTATTTTGTTCAATTATTGTAGCTATCCTTGAGTCAATACTATATTGCTGCAGTGTTTCAAATACTACTGCAGTATAAAAAGCCCCAAAATTTAGTGACTTAAAATATCAGCGTTCACTTTATTATTTCAGATGGTTTTAGTGGGTCAGAATTTGATCAGTTCAGCTGCCTAATTCTGACTCATCTTCCCATGAAGTTGCAGTCAAAAATTGTCTGAGACTGAAGTCATCTAGGCTTGAAAGGCTTGAACAGTGGGGCATGGAATAGCTGGTACTCCTTGCGATCATAAGGGTTTAGCTCTAATTCGATAGAATTTGTGTCCTTATAAGAAGAGAAGGGACACCAGGGCTCTCTCTCTTGTGTGCACAGAGGAAAGGCCATGTGAGGACAGAGTGAGAAGGCGGCCATCTGCAAGCTAGGAAGAGGGGCCTCACCAGACACCAACCCTGCTGTCCTCTTGATCTTGGACTTCCAGCCTCTATAACTGTGAGAAAATAAATGTCTGTTGGTTAAGGTACCCAGTCTGTGGTATTTTCTTTGGCAGCCCAAGCCAAGTAATATGATGATGATGATAAAAAATAATCTGGTTTTGGTGAACAGAGCCCTGAATTGAATCACCAGGTTCAATTGAGAAAAATCATGGTTTTTCATCCAATCACCAGATGGGAATAATTTCCAAATCCAGAGCTTTTTGAATGAAGGAGTCATTTGTCAGGTATCCTTGAATAAGAACTCTCTGACATCACCACAAATAGGTGGTATAAATCTTCATCATAACCTTTCTCTGAGGGATCTGAGACCACTTACCAGGGTAACTGCACACGGAGCAAAGAGAAATACTCAAATCTTTCTGGAGATTACTGGAAATAGATTCTAAGCTAATGCTTATTTCTGGGTGGCAGAATGCCACTATGGTCCACTAGTCAGAAAGCCAACTGAAAGTGAAGGAATATTGGCCCAAAGCTATCACAGTGGGCCAGTTCTACCTATATAGTTAGACTAAAAGTATTCCATAGGAGGCATAAATTTCCATAGTGGGTCCCTGATCACTGGATTAAAGTTATCTTGGCATGAAGGACTGTGTAGAAGTATTTGGAACTAATCTTTCTTTCCAAAATAGTAAGCAGAAAGCAGCGCCATATCCTTGTGTACCAGAAAGATCTTATAGATGCAGGGAGTGAGTCTTATCACATTTCCACTTAATTTACTTGTTTGGCTTGGGAATAAAATGGAGAGACAGGCCAAATCTGTGTGGAAAATGGAAGCTTAAAAAAATTCTGTAGCATTAATCTTTGTTTTATGATTCGCCTTCACATGAGAAAATCCTATAGGAGAGCGTCAAAGGCTACAGTTCCTTATGACCTTTAAGCGTCTTCACTTCCCAAGGCAGGTCTCACTTGGAAAACTGTGAGGTTCATTGGAGAAATTATACAGATCAATTTGGCAAACGAAACAATGTCTTTTCTTTGCATTACTGTGTAACAAGTGAGAATTCTGCTATTCCATCTAGGGAAATGATAAACAGGTTAGGATTTAGGAAACCTAAATTCTTATCCTGAATCTGTCACCATCTGAATGTGCAATTTTGGGAATGTTTCTTTTCTTCCCTGGGTCTCAGTTTCTTCATATGAAAAGCAAATAGAGTGAATTAGATACTCTCCAATAATCCAGTCAATTCTCAATGCCTAAGATTTTTTAATTTGTTGATCTATGTATAGATAAAATTATGGCCTCCATATACTTGAATTCTCAGAATATTCTCATTACAATATAAATTGAAATCTAAGATGATTATTCTGCTTAAATTGAAACATGGCTCAACACTTTCCAGAGACTTCTGATTTTAGAGATCAGAGAACACTGTGGAACTGAAAGAAAGAAACTGGCTTTTAGTTCTACCGCTTACTAGTTACACCATCCTGGACAAGTGGAAGTCTAAGCCTCAGCTTGTCTATGAACTGGGAAAAGTGTATTCATCTCACAGCATTATTCGAGATTAAATAGGAAAGAGAATTGCAAATAGTAAGTGCTCAATATCTGATGCTTCCTTTTAATAGCAAATTTAGGGCAGATTAGAAATGAACAGGCATAGTATTATGTTATTAACTGACTTAATGAAGTAAATAAATAAGTAATAATAATTCTAAATTCTCCTGAGATGGAAGATGGGAAATTCTCAGAGGAAGAAGTTGACATATTTCAAATTCCCAAGTGTTTTGTGAATCCATTTTTGAATGCCCCACAAGGTAGGATGAGAAAATGTCTTTTTAAAGCCTTTGTTGAAAGATGGATATTAAAGAAGGAGCATGCTAACCATCTTTGTAAGTTTTTATGTAGGAGGTAAGGTGGGGCCAATGTCAAGATCAAGACTTGAGGCCAGGCAGACTTGAATCATATCTTCTAGTCTGCTCCTCACTAACTGTATGTCCTGGGGTACAAGGTTTAAGCTCTACTCATCTGAATTTTCATGTCTGTAAAATAGGAGGAACCTTCCAACCACATATAACTCTTTTTAAAATATATTAAATGAGATAATTTATGTAAATTATTTTGCACAGTGCCTAGCATATATGAAATAGTCAATATTAGTTTTTGATCATTAGTTATAGTAATAATGGTTAACTTTCCCACAGAACTCTATAATTTACAAAATAATTCACATCTCTTAAGATGAAAGTGAGCTTAATTTCCTTAATTATCCTGAGATAATTTTAATATTTCTGACACCACAAAAATGGAAATAGAGGTGAGAAAGAGCTATTGGAACATTCACAAGTGTACTAAAATTTCTTTCAAAAGTGTCTTTTCTAAAATTAGAATAGTAGATAATCATCAAATAAAAATATAACATACAGAGAAGAAAAAAAAGAGAAAAATGTTAGTTTCAGCATTACAATAAACCTAGAAAATGATAGGTTTGCCCTATTTACTTTCTGTATTTTTTCATGCAGACATTTATGCAATTGTGCCTATATTATTCCAAAAAATGTATAACATTTAAAAATGTAGTAAATCAGTCAAGCTAAAAGATTTTGGAGAAATGTTTCTTTAATTTGTGAAGGCAAAAAGGGATGCCTTATCTAAATGTGCTGAAATGACTTATAGCCTTTGTACTAATAGACTGTTCAGTAGGCCTTTTCTTTCTTGAGTCACAAGGAGTTTGGTTCTTAATGAAAGAGAGCATTGCTGGGAGAGGTGCTCTTGGTTGTTCCACATGTGTTATTGTATGAGAGAGGTTAGTGAAACACCATGGTTATTGGTGGAAGATGTGGTTTC